TCCTTTTGCGGAGAGGTCGCAAAAGGAGGCTGCGGAGCGGGTGCGCGAGGACGCGGCAGACGCGCACCCGCTTCGGCGCAGAAGGCAGTTCGCTGCTCGCCTAATCCCCTAGTGAGGCCAGCGGGCTCTGGACAAGGACTTCGGAGCCTGCATTGCACGGCCTCACTCGTCTGGGGGGCGGGTCGGAGGACAACCGACTCGCCCCTCCGTTGGCGCGGGAGCCCTGGCGCAAGCTAGGGCGGCCGGGCGGCGTCGTGGTGAATGTGCACCACGGCGCCGACTCAACCGGCGGGAGGTAACCTGGGGGGTTTTAGTGGGGTAGGCCCACCAGTCTGGAGGGAAAGTCCCCACATAATCCCTGAGTCTCCCTGGGCTCAGGGGTATCTATAAAGATTTCCCTCCCGTAAAAAAAAGGGTTGATGCGGGTGCTCACGGTGGTGCAGGAGAATACGCGGATTCTCAGCCGCCTCAGGCGCTTTGGACGCGTCGGCTGCCCCGTCTGTGGCACAGGCGGGGCGGCGGCATGGTGGCATGCGGGGGGTGTCACGCGCGGCGCGGTCGTAACCCGCGTTCCTGGCAACTATCCCCCCTCCGAACCCCTCCGGTGAGACCCGCTTGTGGGAGGCCGGAGGAAGACCGGAGAAGAAAGATAGCCGGAAGTTGGGTAGTGGCAAAATCTCCTAGGAATGGGCGTTACAAATCATACATAGTTATTGAAACTATATATTGTGGCAATATCAAATATCCGATATCGTGTATCTTAGAAACTATACATCGATATTGCTCCGCATCGCGTATTTTTTAGTGACGCCGAATCAAGCCGAGCGATCACCGAGTGGATACCAACACGAAATCATATATTTTGCAAACTATATGTATACGGATATTGCTTCGTATCGGATATTCACTGAGTGGATATCAACACGAAACCATTTTTTGTGCGTCTTCGATAACTCTATACTAACATTGGCCCGCATTGCTCTTGTATAACTATATCCAATAATATATAGTTTGAAATCTGATTTCAAATATCAGTAACGGCAATGTATCAACGCAGCGCGCTCGCGGGCTGTATCTATGAATATATAGTTTCAGAAAATATATAGTTTCGAAATCCGATTTCGAAAATTGACATATAGTTTCGATACGATATTCAGAAAAAGCTATATTACCCATTCCTAAAATCTCCACGTGGGCGGAGCGGGCTGCACTGTGGTCGGCTCTGTGGCTTGTCCGACCCGTGCGCTGTGCGCGAGACGACAATCCCTTGGCTTGTGTCACTGAAATTGTACGAGTCGGGTCATCCGTCGAGAGAAAATCTTAACACCGCGATTCAGAAATCAGTTAAAAACGTTCAATGCCATCCAGCGGATTTTATTGGAACGAACAAGATCGTCATACATCCACGCGGTACAGCGAATCATTCGGTATAAAATATAGCAAATACAGCGCTTGATAATATTATGTTTAAACGACGAACATGTAACAGCGCTTTAGCTACTTAACTATGTATATACATTTATTGGCAAGAATAACAATAGTTATACAGAATAGATACAAAGCAATATTAGGTAGGTACATTATATATAGTATTTACATTGTTGTTGTGTTACATTTTGTTTTTATACCTAACGTTATGTTGTTACTGTCAACAACAATTTCTACAAAGACTTATGATATGAATTATGAATTTGTTGTGTACAGTTATTTCAGTAAAATAATTTAAATTAATATAATTGTAAATTTGAAAATTCTTCAATACTATTATTACTCTTTAGCACTCTGTGAAAATTCATTTTGTGAAGTATGATTGGAAATTAGTAACGTGTTACAACAAGGGAAAAAACGCTGCAAAATAGTAACGTGTTACAACAAGGGAAAAAACGCTGCAAAATAGTAACGTGTTACAACAAGGGAAAAAACGCTGCAAAATAGTAACGTGTTACAACAAGGTAAAAAACGCTGAAAAATACATAACGATCCTTTCAATCCATTTAATTTTCCAAACGCAGAAAGACAACTTTTGTTCCTCGCCCAAAAACCATTATAGTAGTAGTGACATCTAGCGGCGTGATTAGTAACCACGGCATAAAAATGTCTAGGAAATGTCTTTCAATACAAGTACTAATTGCAACATACAATACAGAATTTATATATTATCGGATCAGGGGGTCGATTCAAAACCTTACGATAACTCAGTTGTCGAACAGTTCGATTTGATATTTGTTTTCATTTTTATTCACAACACCTGAATCGAACGTCAAACTGTCATATTCGAAACCGAACCGAAATGACGTCACACCCGTACGATTAGTCGAACTTCTCGACCGACAAAGGCCACAAACGTTATCTAGAACACAGTTATCGAACGTCCTATTGTTTACAAAACAAGAATGTAATATGGAAATCTCTTATTATTTTCAATGAAGTCGTGATTTTGTTCAATTTTGTTAATTTATTTTAATGCAAGACTAATGCATTCCTATGTTTTTTCATTTTCATATTTCTTATAATCGATTTCACCGACTAACTTCGTAAACGCTGTACGATAACAATATCGTATCCGAATCCGAATCCAACGTTTAACTCGGAAAGTTCTGAAAGCTTGGAAAGCGCCCTTCGATTCAAGAACGATATCCAACCGAACGATTCGATTAAGATATCGAAGAGTTCTGAATCGGGGTCCTGACTGACTTTGAATTTGGGCGTTATAACAAACACCATAATCTAAAGAACATTTTTATTAATATTATTATTATTATTAATCTCTCTTTAAATTGACAGCAAACAATCAAAACCAAAACTAATAATACTCTTAGGCCACCGCGCCGTTACGTTTTTTTTCAACCCACCTCACTCGCGCCTCGCCGTCTCTACTTCACGGCCATTTACACAATATAAACTACTTCCATGCTTTTTTAAATATAAATGAACTTGCTCTTGACCACTACCTAACACTGGAGCAAAGATAGGATCTACGATGGAACAAGCTCGCCTAGAAGATATCTATTCAGTCACACCTTAAAGGTATCTGGGTTGTATGTGTTCGGAAACACAGTCGCAGGCAGGGAGTTCCATTCCTGGTCTGTGCGCATAATAAAAGATAATGAGAAGCGCTTAGTACGCCTGAAGGGAATATCGACCAAGTAAGGATGATATCCCGCAGTACGTCTGGATGTCCAATGGTAAAAGGGGGTAATATTCTGTAAAAAACCGACAAAGGGGCAACTTTGCGCCGGTGGTCGAGGCTATGAAGTCTAGATTTGACCTTATCGTCGTCAATGCTATCTTTAAATTTACCTAAGACGGGATTTTGACCTTTTTCAGAGTTACGATTTGTAGTATATAAAGTAACAGTCATTTAAGCTATTGGTCCATGGTTAATACAATAATAATTAACCTTAGCTCACTGCAATTTAATTTGTTTTACGAAACCTTTATTGTTTCTCTTTTTTTACCAGCAATACATCAGCCAAACCGGTAAAAATTTGTAAAACATCATAGAGCTGTCACACACGGCGACTTTAGCAGCGATGCAAACGCGATGCAGTCGCTAATCGTCTACACTACACTTGGGATCTATAGGAGATTGCACTTGCACGCATTTGCACCGATGCAATCGCCTATAAATCGCAAGTGTAGCGATGCAATCACGCGTTTCACAAACGCGAGTTTGCATCGCTGCTAAAAGTTACCGTGTGTAACCAATGTTAATGGTAGCCTCGTGTACAACTACCAATAGTATAGTTACTAGTATAGCATTGTATTATATATGGTACTTACTTAAAAATAGCGTCATTATGTTGATTTGTGCAATAATATGCTCTGGATTGAGCAAGAAGCTCAACGCATACAGATGCATCAGGCATGCTGGACCGAACGCCAGCAGGAATATAAAAATTGCACCTGAAATTTTGTTTAAAAAATTCCATTTCGTCGCCTTACTTTCCCAAACTCGTATCTTAAAGCACAATATTACTGAAATACAAAAAATGGATTGTAAATACAAATATTGCAGGCATCACATTTCATTCATATTCACACACTGGCTGTAACCTATTCATAAAGTAATTGATAAGAATACTTAAAATAAACAGAAAGCTATGCCATCTTCTGAATAATAAATCACTCTTTATAAGATACGAGTTTGAGAAAGTAAGGCGTCGATTTGTAAACTGTCAATTTCTACATTATATTGGTGTAATAATGCCACATATGCAAAATCACAACTTTTCGGGAAAGAGGTTTAAAGATTCTGCGGACGAAATTAGTAGAAGATAATTTTTTTATGCTTAAAAGAGGAGAGTTATAAAATTTCACTTACTTACACACATAAGTTGTTTCATGTAGGTAAGTAGTTCGTTTTTTTTTTACAAGTGAGCATTTGACCTCCGTCTCACCAGATGGAAAGTGACGATGAGGTCGACGATGAAGTATGCACACCAGTAGCGAAGCGTTAAAATTTTTGTTAGTAAAGCCGGAGAAAAACAAAAAACACTTTCTTGAAGAAAAAGTGGCGCCTTGGCGATACTTAACCACAACTTATTAGCACACAAGGTACTAGTACACTTCATTTCACTGATTAACTTATTCCACACTTAAAACTTTGCACAAAATTTAGTATTTGATAATACGTGGAAAATTTTAGGCAAGCCGGTGAAAATCGAGTTGTATGGACTCCTTGCCACTGACGCACACCTATTCACTCTCGCCTCGAAAAGACTCGCAGTTACAGCGTTCAGGGAATTCCACTCCATAGCCGTTCACAATATAAATGTGAAACGTAACGTTTAGTGCAAATCCTTTGAATATGCACAACATAGAATTGGAACCCCAGCCTACATCTTGTCCACTGACGATGGAAAGGGGAAGGCGGAATAAAATAGTGCGATTCCCTAGCACACCATCCTTGATATAATATCATGTACAATTATTTTTGTAACTTTCACCATGAACCAATGGACTCAAGAGAACTGCTAATGGCGATATAAGACGGCGCGGCGTAGTCGAATATTTAGTACTTATTATTACACCAGATGTCGTGACGAGCACCATATAACCATTTTTGTAACTAATTTGGTTTATATTTCTCTCTAATTTCTAGTGATAACAAACAAATCAACTAGATGGCGCTTATTGCACAGATTTTTGTGGATACTGCCAGCTATTCTTTTAATTTGTTTAGAATTAGCTTCATCTACTCATGTTATGAAGCGTTAATATAAAAATTTGTGTGTAACACACAATGCCATCTATTGACGCACATATTTTTATCAAGGTTCAGAAAACAATTTTAGGTCATAGTCAATATTTGAGTAATATTACAAGGAAAAATAAATATATATAATATAAAAAATACTCTGTCCAAGTTCCGTAATTATTGACATACAACCATGGCCAAAAAATGCAATAATTCCCAGATTCTTTTCTTTTTAAGTTTAGTGAAGCGACATGCTCTTTAGTTCCGATATTTATCGAGCCAATAGATTATGCAACGAAGATTATTCAAGTTGATAAATTTTGGTACATAATCCTTGGAACATAAAATGTATCTGTCTAATATTTTATAATTAAATTAAATAAATTATAATAAATTCTTATTGTTTATTATAAAGAATTGTCGAATTCTTCTCCATATGAACGGAAATCATCACTTGAATCCTCATTAACATTAATTATTAATTCTTGAGTACACAAATTGTCAAACGCAATCAGACGATATCTTTTTTTTAATCCGCTCACATTCACAATTAAAACTTCTTCATAAATAAAATCGATTGTTATAAAAAATCGAATCAGGGACGTATTAGGACATACCTCATTGATTACAATTCGAGCTGTCAAAAGTTGAATAAATGGTTGGACTTAGTCATCATCGAGCATATAACCAGAAACAGAGACGAAATGTCATTTTATTTGTTTGCAAACTATTCTGCCAAATCGTTGCGATGACAACTGCGCTCCGATTGGCCAGCCCGAATTCGAAACATTTGACGGGTGTCAACAATTGTTTCACTTCAAATCGACCAGTTTAAGTTTTGCTATAAAAGACGAAAATTAAAAAATTACATATTTAATTACCGATCAAATGTGATACCGTTTGTTTTGTAATTAGATGTTTTTCTTGCAACACCGAATGGAGCAGCCCCCATTGTTAGAGATCTTATTACAATAAATACAGAACATTTTGGAATATATGGAGACGTACACACAGGCCAGTTGTTGGTGCTGTACTATTTCAGCTTTCTAATTTGTGATTTCAGCGCAAATGAGAGCTGATATTTAAAAGTGATGTATGGTGTATTTCGTCTCTATTTCTGGTTATATACTTGATGGACGGAGCATACTTTCAGGCTATTAATCAGCGCCATCTAGACATAAGATGTAATTTTGACCTTTTTCAGGGTCTGTAATATAGAGATTAAGCAATCCTCTTGAGTTATTGGTTCATGTTTTTACGTATGTGACTGTATTATACCAATATCACGATATTCTACATTGTAATTGTCCGAAAAATCTAATTACCTAAAAAGTCTGGCCGACTTATAGTTTCATCAGCATCCAGAACTCTAGCAGCGAAAAGCAATGAAGGGGGTATCACAAGACTGTAAATTGACAAATGGATTGCCATTTTTGAATACCAAATGATGAATGACGAACAACCAGCTGTCATGTGGCGAAATCGCACTCCAGTATAATACTCTTGAACGGCGAGAAGAATAAAATGTGGCAGAGTTGTTGTTATTACTGGAATAGAAAAAAAAATTAAATCTGATAGAAAAAGCTTGTCAAAGTCTTAACTTTGACCTTGGTGAAAGAATCATTTATTCCTTATGTAAAATAAATTTACACTTGAAAACGTAACATTTAAGCTACTGCTCGTTCACTACGCTGACTTCCCTGAGAAGAACGAGCAAGAAACTCTAGGGATTGTTGTTTTCAAATAATTTATTTAATTATTTTGCATAAACTTAAATGCTTATGGAATACACTTTGAATCAAATTTGAGTGGAATCTGGAGCCATGTCGTCTTACCATATATTTTTATCTAACACGTCTTCAATTTTGTAATATACTTTTCAATCAAAATATGTTTAATGTAGTTTTTAAACTTAGGAAATGATAATCATAATATATGCTCCGGAATCTTATTGTAAAAACGTATACAGTTCCCCATAAAAGAGTCGTTTACCTTGGTCAAACAAAATCCTGGTACCATGAGTTTGGACTAAGCTCTAATAGTAACATTATGGATATCTTCTTTCTTATTGAAATTATGTATATTTATATCACGCCACAGTCATGATACCAGTCTCCTTAAACTTATCTCGGAGAGAAACCCAAGAACCTAAAAGGTAAACGAACAAATATGGTTTGGTTAAACAAGTGTTTTAAAAATAAAAAACCGACCTCAAAAATTTGTTGAATCTATTTGCCAGGTTTTATCGAAATCGGTTCACGGAAAGTAAATGAAATTTGCTGTCGTATGTATGAACCAATAGTGTGAAGTCGAAACACAATGTTTAAATGTTTTTTTTTCCTACGCTTTCTTATCAATAACAGCAGTGCATCGAGTATATAACCAGAAATAGATACGAAATGTCATTTAATTTGTTTGAAAACTACTCTGCCAAATCAGTGCGGTGACAACTGCGCTCTGATAGGCCAGCCCGAATTCGAAACAATTGACGGGTGTCGTCAATTGTTTCACTTCAAATCGACCAGTTTACTTTGACTTTGCTATAATGGACGAGAATTGACGAATTACATATTTAAAATTTAATTACCGATGAAATCTGATTCCGTTTGTTTTGTAATTAGATGTTTTGCTGTTTTTCCCACACCACCGAACGGAACAGGCCCCTATAGTTAGAGATATTATCTTACAATAAATACAAAATATTTCTGGAATATACGGAGACGTACACACAGGTCAGTTGTACTATTTCAGCTTTCTAATTTGTGATTTCAGCGCAAACGAGAGTTAATATTTAAAAGTGACATAAGACCCATTTCCCTAATGAGTTGCCAGGGATGGATGGCATCTATTTCTGGTTATATATTCGATGCAGCAGTACAACACTCTATTTTACCATCCATTTCGCTATCTAGTTTAAAAAATACGATCATTACGGTTGATGATCGTCAAAGAAACGACGAGACTGAGTACATGGTCTGCAACGCTACAGATCCCCTACCCGTACGCATAGGCGAAGACGCGGTCGAGCCTACGGGCCAGTTTAAATACTTGGGATCTGTACTTAGCGCGTCCGGAGACATCGACTGCGACGTCAGAGCCCGAATCGCAGCCGCTTGGGCAAAGTGGCGTGAGGTGACTGGTGTAATTTGTGACCCCAAGATGCCGGTTAAGCTGAAAGGACAGGTCTATAAATCCATCATTAGGCCTGTCCTTTTATATGGCAGTGAAACGTGGCCCGTACTTGAGCGTCATAAGCAGGAGCTGCGTGTCACGGAAATGAAGATGCTGCGCTGGATGTGTGGAGTTTCACGGAAAGACCGTGTCAGAAACTCCCGCATCCGCGGCAGCCTTCATGTCCGTGACATTGCAGATAAACTGCAAGAAAGCCGCCTACGTTGGTACGGCCACATCTTACGGAAACCGGCATGCTACGTGGGAAACAAATGTCTGGCTATGCCACCTCCGCCGGGCCCCGGTAGAAGGGGCAGACCCAAGAAGTGCTGGCTTGTCGTCGCCAAGGGTGATATGCGTGCCAATGGTCTCACCACTAAGGATGCCGAAGACCGTGCAAAGTGGAGGAGAAAAAGTAGGAAAGCGGACCCCGGGCTCCGCAGCAACCCTGCTGAGGACGCAACCGGGACAACGCTAAGATGAGACAGAGAGAGAGAGATCGTCAAAGAAACGGTTACACGAACTCTGGTAGTGAGATAGATGCCTTGCCGCAAGAAATCGCATCGCAGCAATGCAAGTCGCAGTTTTCAGCGTTGCCAATTCGTATCGCGTTTCGGTTTTGAAGGCGAAGGATGCTGGTGAAATTACAGGCACATGGGACTTGTCAACTTATGTCTCAGGGTGACAGGAGTAGTGGTGGTGACCCTCAGATCTAAAAAAGAAACCAATAAACCGTATCATCCATAATTTGCTACCGTTAGAGGTGGAATGTTTTCTTCAAATTTGAATAGTACCCTCTTTCCAACAAAAATAAAACCATCGAAATCGGTTCACATTTTTGTGACGTCCGCTAACTAAAAAGCGGCTACGTGATAAAACCATTTTTTGAGATATCATAAAAACCATAACCCAGTTTTAGAATATTGAGTTTGTTTAATGATAATTCAGCTACGCAACGTTAGGGTAAGTTCCGATAAATCGAACATGTTAACTAATTAGAATTGTTTTTAAAAGAAGTTTTATGCTCTATCCTCTGACATTTAAAGCGCATATTTGACAATTTGTCACATAGCCGTGTTTTAGCTGGTGGACGGCAGAATTAATGTCGAAGTAATAAGTTGCAAATTGCTTCCCTAGGCGGGGTCACTACTTCCCCCAAATTATTAACAATCCAAAGCAGGAAGACGTTCACTACTGAACATTCCCAATAGAAAGTCACCATATACGGTGAATCATATTTAACGTGACCATCTGTTTTTTCCATCAAGGCGGGACGCGTGTAAATTTATTATTGTTTTAAAAATAATTTAAAAATAAAACGCATGTTTATGGTAAGTAATTAAAAAAAATATAATGATTAAAAAATAAATAAAAAAGAATTTGAAATATTATGTATTTAATGATCGAAAATTAGAATACGAACTGTTCTTATGTAATCAGGTGGGCTGGTTTTAATATGTATATTTTGCGGACGAGCAAATTTGCTTGTAATTTATAAGGTTTAGCACCGATTCATTCCCGTCAAAAACAGAACTATGTAAAATACGCGGACGACATGGCTTCATTGCTGCTACGCTTTTGCGCCACTCTATTAAAATTATTGTCAACGTGTGTCCTGTTTAGTCCAAGCACGACGTTTTTAAGTACTTTGGGGACAGTCGGGACACGAAGTTTAAAAGCGGGACTGTCCCGCTCAAAGCGGGACGTATGGTCACGTTAATCATACCCAAAAATAATCTACAATCTGTCAAAATTATTTGTTCAAAATCGTACAGTCTAGAGCACATCAAGCGCAGCACTTCTAATCGCAAGTGCAAGCGTGACTTTTCAGAATGTTTAAACGGTGAAGGGAAACGTGATGAAAACCTATATGTCAAAGCAGAGGATCTACTCATGTTTCCCGCACTAATACGGTTCATTTTGCTAGGGTCGAGCGGCAGGGACGTTGGCTTCATTTCAGAATTTATATTTTAACAACGAATGAAAGCCATCTGAAAAATGTACATCGTATACTATACGTGTGCTATTTAGTTCAGTTGATATAAAACAATCGTTGGTACATGTAAAGTACCTATTGAATACATTGACTTACAATTATATGGACGTCGGGTCCGCGCTAAAAAGTGTCCGAACTTATAGGGCGTTAAAATCGTATACAGAGCGTCATCACGCTTTAGTCTTCGTTTGTTCGACTGACAGCAAAGCAAGCAAAATTAGACAGTACTGCGATGACATTACAATTTAAATTCAACGTTTTAGCTTTTTCATATTCCTTTACATGTCACTACGTTTAAATAGGTCGACTTGGGACATTTTTTTCGTGGTTTGTGTATTAGACCCGTCGTCCATTTATTTGTAAGTCAATGATTGAATACAATGGTTTTCTTGTAAAATTTCGGGGTAAGTTTATGTTTGTTTTTTCTATCATGAAATTTTTAAGGAATCGTGTTTTAATACCGTAGTAATCTGTGTATATCCATAATTTTACTATTTTTTTTTTCAAAGCGATTGATTCAACAATTTCACTGTTACGCAGAATCAACTAAAGCCATTTGAGGTTGTATCGACTTCTATAAGACACATGATGCGAATGAAGCTTCTTACGTGTCTTACATTACTTATTTGACAGTAATTCTATCAGACGGGTGTAGACCACCAAGTTCACAACCCTTGCAAATCGTATCAAGCCCTTAACTCGCACTAGACCAGTCGAAGTGGACCATGGTACTAAACTCTACATAAAGGAGACCCGTGCAATCAATGACTCGGATAATAAGGTTGGGGATGAGATATCGTATCCTTGGCCTTGGTATAATAAAGCCATACATCATAAGTTATTTTATTGTATGAAAGTCATAAAAAAATGAATTGTAAGAAAAAAAATTCACTGATTTGGTGCTACATTGACGCAAATGTTTATATGTCAAAATTGGATTAAGTATATTAACGCATGTATAACATAAGACGTGTTTACGTAGGTATAGTCTGTCTTTTTTAAAGACGGCGTAAAATTATAGTACATCGCACCGAAGTGTTGCCCGCTTGCGAGCAGCTAGTGATTGCAGTCGATAATTAATATTCTATCGACTATCGACTGAATGTTGGTCGCACTTATGGAATAAATATCCGAACTTAATAAAAATGGAAGTAAATTAATTTGCTACTTCGCGAACCCAGTGAAGGTTAGTTAAATCGTGCAAAATAGCTGCGCTTGTGTTGAATATTTTTTCATGCAGTTAATTATCCCACCCTCCCTCCGCATAAAATTAATAAAATAAATAACACAAGCGCAACTACAGTCACAAACACCACCACCAAATATACCCGACACGTGTTTCGCCTCTCCACGAGCCATCCTCAGGGGGTGTCGACTGCTCGACATTCAGCCGAAGAGTGAGCTCGTTTTATTTTATTTTTGTTTTTTTGAAGGATACTTTGCAATTGCCCGCTGATGCATACTGCTACGTAACATAAACTTAAAGCTAAGTTGAGGGCGCCCAAGTGGGCACGGACTTCGGCTCAGGGTGCTACTGAAGACTTCCGCCAGAAGGGTGTGCTACGGGAGAGAATCTACCACTATACGTGCTGAAATTAGGGGCTCTGCGATTCGCCGGGAGGACGGTTGGTGCGTGAGGGACGGGACTGACTAGCGATCTGGTTGGCCTTCAAAGTGGCGAGAGTAATAGGGTCGTCAGCGTCGTTGAAGAATTCCCTTGGCCGACGGGTCCTACGTACGCGGTGGGGGTGTTCCCTGAGGGGGTCGTAGTTGGATGCAGCCACCACGAGGGGGCTATTGTGGGGAGCTGTAAATCTATGTGGAGGTTAGCGTTGCGCAGGTACCATGGGGCACCCGTCACGTTGCGCGTGAATCTATTCCGGGGAGCCTGTAGGCGGTGTATAAGCGCGAGAGAGCTCGTTCAGAATGGTTGGTGTATTTATACCCCGCTACCCCCAATGTTGCTATTGTTGAAACCCGAAAATTCCCGTAATAAAGGTGATAATGCAAAATTCAATTGTTCATTAATTATATAATCCCTGTTGTTGTACCTAATTATTTCCATTTGTTCTAAGACACCCAGACGCAGTCCTTTTTCGCAAAAATGTAAGATTTCATAAGAATGGGAATCTGGTAAAATATAATTTGTTTCTAATAAATGTTTAGCGAAATTGGACCGGTCTGGGTGCTTATGCCTAAACGAAGAAACAAGCTCTTTATATCTAGTTATAAAGTTATGCCCTGTTTGACCTATATATACATTGTTACATCTGTCACAAGTGAGCTTATAAACTCCCGACTTCTTACCACTTTCCACTCTTTCCTTGCCATTGCAAAGTCTAGAGCGCAAAGTGTTATTTGTCTTTAAAGCAACATTTACACCATTTGATTTCAAAATTTTATAAATATTTTCTGACAAATGGCCAACATAAGTCTAATGCTTGCTTTATATTTATTAATAGGCTGTGAAGGAACCGCAGTATACAATATGTTGTTGACTATCCGCCTCTGTTTCTTGAGAACTAAGACTGTAACCGTTAGGAAATGTAATCTGATAAATAATATTTAACACTAAATTATAATGATTTTTAGAAAGAGGGGCTGTTCACAACCTATGTATATAACAATTAAAAGCAGCCGTTTTATGTTGCCAGGGGTGACAAGAAGAAGCCGGGATAATTGTATCTGTATGCGTAGGCTTACGGTAAATTTTAAAAACATGTTTGTTATCTACTTCGGTTACAGTTAAATCTAAGAAATTGAGAGAGTTGTTTTGTTCTAATTATTTCTTAAACTTAATTTTTGGGTGTTTGTTGTTAAGATCGTTTACAAAATTGTCCAGCTGTCTCATACTACCCGTCCATCAAAGTATCAAATCATCAACTTACATAAAGTAATATAGTATATACCTATTGCCTGCAATATGTTGGTTTCAAAATGATCCATAAATATGTCTGCCATTAAAGGACTGAGAGGAGAACCCATTGTTAGGCCATCATATTGCAAGTAATATTGTCCGTTAAACCTGAAGTAGTTTTGTTTCATGCAAAGAGATGTCAATTCTATCAACTCGTCAACTTCCTCTGGATGTAGTCGTCGCCTTTCTAAGTGATCTTCTTGAGAATATTTAAAGTGTCAGTGTAGGGAAGATTAGTGAACAAGCTGTCTACATCCAGAGAAAGTAATTTTGCGTTATGTGGTATGTTGATGTCGTTGATCCTTTGTATTGAATCTAAACTATTCTTTAAGCAAAAAGGCGGTTTGATAAAAGATTTTTCCCAAATAATGATATTTAATTTTTAGCTAATTCGTAAATTGGAGCACCTATATATGAGACAACTGGGCGGATAGGAATATTCTGTCAACCGTGACCCTGGGACCTATAAAGGGCCCGAAACGTCGGTTTGGTTGAAAAAACAAATATACGCGATTGAAATCCGAAAAATTAGTTTCATTTCCTATGTGTAACAATCGCGAAAACCTAAGAAACCGTTATGGATCGGAACAAACTATAGTAATCATTAGAACGTCGTGACATTCACAATTCAGTCATTTTTCGCAAATGTTTATCTTCTTTCATAATCTATCGATAAAACTATCGACAATAACCATTTAATTATGAAAAGTGGCAACCCTTCACATGTCATTTTACTCCGTCTTCAAAAAAGGTAGCCTATAGTTGTGAAAATTATCGCTTTATTTTGTTCATATCTTATTATTTCGTTTATATCTTTGAACCTCTCTCGTAAAATGTTTAATTTTGCAGATATAGCCTTATTACACCAAGGGTGCGAAACAAGGTAAAACGACAAGTTGAATTTAAACCCTGTTGACAGGATACAACATGACTAGATACTGATGCTTTCGTTGACATGGTTTTGTTGTTACGCTGCTAATAGAAGTTGGTTGACTTCTCGCATTAACTGCAAACATGCAGTCAATCTGTTATCAGCCTTAATGTTGATACCGATATAAGGCGTTACAGGATCATTTCAGGGTTCAAAATTAACTGGTCAAGTAAACGTAACAATATAAAATACTAACAGAATGAAACCCACGTGGCCCATGCATTACACAAGAATACTTTCTTTGGTTCCCAGTGTCCATGATCATTTCTTAATATTTCTTTTAGCGGAACGTGGCTCACGTTGATACCGTAATCGGGTGCATATGGCATAATTAGCGACATATATATGTTACTAAATGTGTTCATAGCTCTTGATAATGTACGGTGTGAGGGGTTGGGGTAGTAGATAACTGTCCTTTTACTCTCTATACTGTAGCCGTACACATCACGAACTTCCTGTGTTACTCGAATGTTAACTAAATTTCTGAAATCTGAAGAAAAGCAGACCTTTATGGCTAGTCACCGGAGGAGAAGCGGTAAAAACTGTTTTGCTAGACCAAATGGTTTAAGTATTTACTATTAAATATCGAATATATAACCAGAAACAGAGACGAAATAAGAACCGTCCATCCCAGGCAACTCATCAGGCAAATATCACTTATATCACTTTTAAACATCAATTTTCGTTTGCGCTGAAATCACAAATTAGAAAGCTAGTATATATAAAGCTAGTACAGAATAGTACAGCGCCAACAACTAACCTGTTCCAAAAATATTCTTATTATTATTATTATTTAAGGTATCTCTAACAATGGGGCTGTTCCATTCGGTGGTGTGGGAAAAACAGTAAAACATCTAATTACAAAACAAACGGAATCACATTTCATCGGTAATATAAATATTAAATATGTAACTTTTCAGTTTTCGTCCATTATAGCAAAGCTAAGTTAAACTGGTCAACTTCATCTCTATTCCTGGTTATATACTCGATGCTATTAAATAACGATCTTATATACAAGTCGAACTAAAATGTTATAGAAGACAAAAATGCATACAGCCATGATATATTAAATATAAAATAAATAATTTCAAAATACCAAAAATATCGCAGAATTTGAATTTGTAAAATTAAATATTTGTCTTTGTTTCTATAAAATAAATATAGTAATTTGTCAAATCGTACAGAAACTGATCATAGATTAAATTTCCCTTACCATGTGGTAAATCATGGGTAAATACAAATATAGTTTCGGGATATTTTTTTTTCAGTGGTACCAGTACATCACTGCTTCGAAATGGCCCAGGGTGGTACAACACAAAAGGACAAACTTTCAATGGTGTGGGGGAATACACATTGCCATAGCCTGTCGCATTATTTGATGATAATGTCACCACCATTAATCCTAAGAACGGAATTATTACTTGCTGAAACAAGAAAGAAGACTTCAACAGACGTCGACTTCAAGTTACGAGCTGCGCTGAAATGTGATTGGTCGAGAGCAAAAGTAGACACCTGAGCACAGACAGTAATTCCCTGTTATTGGTTGTGTTGTCACTGCGTGTGTGGTTATTGGAATATAATGAAAAATTCCACACCGTTACCAATAAAGCTATTATATTCACAATTAGCTGTCACATTCGAGTGATTAACATTAATGAAAAAATTAAAATTTTACCACAATACCGAACATGACGGCCACCGTAACTTCACGTTTTTATGTCATCGTGAGCGCCGCCGACTAATGACACAGTGCAAAATATTAACACAGTGCCAAATATGGCCGCAAGATCACAGCTAATTTTAAAACATTTGCACAGTAATTTTATCAACGTAAAAATTGGGCGCGACAAACTAAATGAAGATGTTTTTTGTTTCATAACACAAAAAATATCTATAAACGCATTGACTTACAATTATATGGACGTCGGGTCCGCGCTAAAAAGTGTCCGAACTTATAGGGCGTTAAAATCGTATACAGAGCGTCATTCACGCTTTAGTCTTCGTTTGTTCGACTGACAGAGAAGCAAGCAAAATTAGACAGTACTGCAATGACATTACAATTTAAATTCAACGTTTTAGCTTTTTCATATTCCTTTACATGTCACTACGTTTAAATAGGTTGACTTGAGACATTTTTTTCGTGGTTTTTGTATTAGACCTGTCGTCCATTTATTTGTAAGTCAACGTATATTCCTCCACCATGAACGCGCGTTTGCATCGCTGAAGTCGCCATGTGGAACCACTCTAACACCACGCGTACTACGCAACATTAATTTCTAGCACTCATCCTATTCTCAAACTTCTTCTGCCGTGTACTCAAGAATAGCCCCCTTTACAGTCACTCTATCGCGCGTGATCAAAAGCGTACAAAATTGCGTGCGGGAAAGCCTGCACGAACAATCGTGAGCGATTGCCTGTTTGAAATTTTTTACGCTAACGTTCTTTCGCGTGCGATTGCTCGTGTTCGTTTTTGTTACAACGGAAAGAGCGTCTGTGTAAAGATCAATAGCGCAGGATAGACTGCGTGAAACTGGCGCACGTTGGAGTGCGCGATTGCGCGTACGCCTGATAATTTCCTTCCAACGTCTTTACACGCGCGACCAATCGCGCACGATTGCTATACCACGCGCGATAGTGTGCCCCTGTAAAGCCCGCTATTCACTTACCAATATAAGAAATTTGACTTTGTTTGTCCGAACGAATGCCCAAGTTCTACCCATGAGTGTGATCATTTGCTGTAGCCATAACGTATAACTTGTAACCGCGTCCATATTTTCATCTGAAAACAAAAAATATCTTCATGGTACTATGCAGTGCCGCGCTACATTATTGCGCAACTGATGCAGCACGTCACTGCATGTATAGTATCTGCCACAAAACAGACTCAAAGTAAAGGAGTCACCAAACTTATCGCACCAAGCCGATCAGAAAAAGCTTATGTCCATGTAGTAAGACCGAAAAAAACGTGCGTTTCGCATCGACTGAATACCATAGATTATATGAAACATAAGGGAAGAGATACGGTATGGTGGCGTGGTTCGGGTTGCCTTGATATGCCCAAAATGCACATTATTGGCGTGTCACCATTGACTTACAAATAAATGGACGACGGTTATAATACAAAAACCACGAAAAAAATGTCCCAAGTCAACCTATTTAAACGTAGTGACATGTAAAGGAATATGAAAAAGCTAAAACGTTGAATTTAAATTGTAATGTCATCGCAGCACTGTCTAATTTTGCTTGCTTCGCTGTCAGTCGAACAAACGAAGACTAAAGCGTGAATGACGCTCTGTATACGATTTTAACGCCCAATAAGTTCGGACACTTTTTAGCGCGGACCCGACGTCCATATAATTGCACGTCAATGCGTGTCACATGAAAACAGCCGTATGGCTTCTGACTATGGATTAGGTAACTAAAGTCTAGTATTGCCAAACTAAAAATGAGTTTCAACGTCATCTAACGTCATAGCAAACACAAGTGTCATTTTTACTAATGATACCTCATGTTAAAAATGAAATATTGCAATAAAAAAAAAATAAAAATAAAACGTAATTCAATTTTGTTAAAATAATAAATCATTTTTCGTCGTTTCCAGGTTTAAACCCTAACCAATCAAGATCATTAATTTACGGTAGGTAGTAGATGATAGAGCGTAAAATTTGAGATGCACACAAGCTACAAAAGTGGCGATATCGGTACGCGACTTGGCATAGCGTCGTGGCATATCTATCATTATTTTTTTTTATTTATGCCCAATACAAGTCAGCAACAAATCTGCTGCCTGCGAATTTCCGATCGCGGTACGCAGCCGATGACGACTGTATGGCAGCGTTCATGATGAATCGGTTTACTGTGAGGCCAGACGAGCGTAATTTTATGAGTTGCGCAGTTTGCGCTGCATTCGGTTTCATATAAAAGTACGGTTTATTTCACACGACGACGCAAAATGAGTTATGTGCCGACTCACGGGCGTAATGACGACTGACTTTCCATCGCATCTTGCGTCGGGCTGGCGCGGGTGGAGGTAGGGGTAAGGGAAGGGGTCACTTTGGTATAGGATGCGCGTGAGTATAGACGTTGCATGCGAAAATATTTGATACGGAGATCAAGATATAAATAATTGAACAACTTACTTGATTGTTATTATAAGTTTTTCCTCTGAACCGATGGCTTGTCTCATATTTGTATCTGACTTAGCAATAAAAGGTTTTACTAGTCTTAATAATTCTTGAAAAACATTTATTGGCATGTGGTAGTACTTAACAAATTGATCTGGTCTATGTTCACATAAACCTGTATATAATATATGAAACTAACCACACATTAGTCGTTTCATATTGAGTGTATGTACCCAGCTTCTTTTTTTTTCGAATATTATCTTCTATTGCTTCATAAATGCATACTATTTTTAATGGATCCATTACACTATTACGACACAAACACTCCGTATGAACTCTTAAAAGCAACTGAATAAAATACGTTCGTCTGGCCCTCCAACCGAATTTCGGTCGAGCGGTCAAAAAAAATGCAATTCCCAACTTACAAAATTACGCTCGTCTGGCCTCATACAAACTTAGTGCTACAAGTGTAGTAAAACATAGTCGTCTCAAGCCGATTCCGCAACTGTGGTCACTACATAAATAGACTGCAAAGAATGCAAAGCCAATCTTCAGACACACTTACAATGATCTAATTGCTCCTCATCGTAAATGCCTATTTCCGAATCATCTTCTTCGACGAACCTACAAATAAAAAAGTGGTATTAATACCCCGACAGTGTACACTTATTCAATACTGGTACGGGTATACCTACCTCAAGAAAACTTCCTCCATAGACACCCCAACACTGATAGAAGATATTCCCAATTCATGTCTTCGATATTCTAAGGCGTCAAACACTTTCGGAAACATATCTCTCGCCTTTGCTGGTAAACAAATCGATAGCTTGCTAAGATCTTGCTTGGAATGCGTCATACTGGTTGTTGTATCAGGTATTACATCTTCTAAAACTTTTACTATTTGGTGCGCGTTTGATGGTTTACGATGCGTTTTCATCGTTACGTTGAGTTTGAAATCTGCACCTGAAATTGACACGGGACAGTGTGCTTTGAATAAAGGTGTTACCTATCATATATGAAATATACTGATGCGTGAAAATGTTTTTAAATATACGCTAATCAAAATCCGGTACGAGGACTATTTTACGCGTAAGAAGTGTACCACGTAAAGCATAATTACCTATAGCGTCTTTCAGAAAAGCTGGCGATCCATGGCACTTGACTTTTCCGTGACTTAATAAAGCTATCCTGTCGCCCAATGCATCTGCCTCCTCCATTACTGTAGTTGCTATGAAAATCGTTTTTTCACCACGAAGGAGCTGTAAAATGATAAATAAAGTCAGATTAACAGTATTTTCTTCCAACGGAATTCCGTTAAACTTCAGTTGATCCCTACCGCATCCTTATCATAACGAAACCATTTCGCCCAGCAGGCAAAGCCCGAGCGCAAATAGACAAAGCTGGTGACGTAAACAATTGGCACTACCATAGCATTAAGTAGTCACGTAGGTCACGCTTGTGGCTGGCAGAAAACCATGCCAATTATCTGGTCTCAAACTAGAGTACTGTGAGTAGGGGAGAGCGGGGCTGAACGTTCCGATTTTCATATAACTTGCAGTTTTATACTGAAAATGAAGGATTTGATTTTCAACATGTGATAATGTTGAACAAATGTTTATTGCTTTTTGTAATAGTATAGTCACTTCTACTAATATCTCAATAATATATTTCATAGAGGCAAATTTTTGACAAATTTCGGAGCGGAACATTCAGCCCCGCTTTGGGGCGCGTTGTTCCGCCTTTGAGGCAAATTGTTCCGCCTAGATTGACAGAATAACAACGATTTTCTTAAATAAAACCAACTATTTTATAAATGTACGTATGTAATGTTTATATTATGCACAACTAACTTAAAAAAAACAACTACATTCTTATTCATCAGTAACATCGCTCATTTCTTCATCTGAATCACAGTTGAGACACACATAAGTGACTATCATCTTGTCTAAATATTTGACATGAGCCCGTTTGTAGTTTCGCATCCTTAAAACAAAGAAAAATGGTCATAAGAATTTTAAGCATGATTGTAGGTCGATTGGGGAAGTTATTCCTAGGAACAACCAGCCCCTAGATGGAGGAACTAATGGCCCCAAATTACGTTTTTATACGAAGACTGACATACCGGCAAAGTAATAGAATCAATCAAAAAAATACTCAAACAATAAGATTTCTTACTAATATGTCACTACAATTTAGAAAAGTTACGTATGAATCGGCTTATAATAAACAAAGACAGACCAAAAAATTTAAACAAGAAAAAATTTACTTACGTGATATTTTGACAGCTCCACGCACATAGCTACACACATAGCCACACGTCGTCGCCGGAGTTACTGAAATGGCTGCCGGCAAGACGCATCAACTGACGCTTTAACGACGCGCTTCACATGTATCGCTACATATTTTCCTTGCAAAGTTATTGCTGTGAGAACAACTTACCCCCGGAACTACCAGTCCCGGTTTCCCCTACCAAAGCAACGGAATTCACTCCGGGTCACCACTCACAACACCAGATTCTGATCAAGTTTATTTCCTAATTGGTCTTATTGGAAATCTCAGTTTAGTAACAGTAAAACTCCTTGTGAACTTCGGGTGCTAGTGCAATTACATGCACATGGGACTTGGTAACTTCCCTATACCTCAGGGTGACGGGCGCAGTGGCAGTGCCCATCGGATCTTTGAGACTTAAAGCTTTGAGTGACACTGCAACTGCTGTGGATAGGCGCATTGCTAACCACCAGGCGCATGACTTACTCATCCCGTTATTTGGTATCATAAAAAAATCGAACCCAGGACCTCCGTCCACAATACAAACGATTCGGCCAACATGGTCGTCGTGATATAACTTGTGTGACATTATAACTTGTGGCAGCTTTATGAAGACATTCGTCTTTCAGCTCATACTAAGCTGCTGGTGAGTTGTCCAACCGTACTAACCAATAAACAATCCCACAAGGCGTGACGTAAATTGGAGTCCATGTTGCTGGTTGGTTCGTCCAATACCAGTACCTCAGCGTCGCCAACGAGAGCACACGCCACCTGTCCATCAATTTAAATCGTTATACTGTGCGATCTGTTGAGAGCGAATAGGTGTGAAGTTCCTAGTGACTCACATTGTAATATCCATTTCCCAAAAAAATCAATTAGTAGATAAAGTTCCGAAACGATTCGCAAATTTTGTAACAAATAGACAATGAGTATTTCTTTCTTTTTGCTCATAAAAAGAAGAAAAAGGAAGTGAGCGAGGAATGCATGGACACGGTACCGGCTTCAGCTTGCGAAATCTGCTGAAAGCGGTATGCTTTCGACCACATCGTCAATCATCTTTACGAGAAAATTAAGGTGTTTGACGTAACACGTACTTTATTTACATTAAAAATAAAGATTGGTAAAATTAAGCTTGTGATTGCTGTAAAGGTACCGGCCGAATGAGAAGCTTCAGTCTTCAGTGAGAAAGTCTCTCATGAGGTGTCGCTTGCGGCGTTATAAACTTCAGATTTTTAAAACCGAATACAAAGATCTATAACAATCTCTTAGACGAATTTTTAAGATCTGACTGTAGGTCAATTGGCTAGAGCATCGCCCTGGTGAGGCGTGGCCACAGGCTCGAGACCTGTCAGATGGAATTTTTATTTGTGTTCGATCTTTGTATTAATAATTGTAACAAACTAGTGATTATTTCACAAAAATGTTTAATATCACATTGTTAAAACATCGTGACGTTCAATAAAAACATAGAGTATATAACCAGAAATAGAGACGTAATAAGGGCCATCCATCGCTGGCAACTCATAAGGCAAATGGGCCTTATATCACTTTTAAATATCAACTCTAGTTTGCATTGACATCACAAATTAGAAAGCTGAAGTAGTAAAGCGCCAACAACTGACCTGTGTGTACGTCTCCGTATGTTCCAAAAATATTATGTAGGTATTTATTGTAATAAAGTAATATCTTTAACTATGGAGGCTGTTCATTCGGTGGAGTGGGCACAGCAAACACAAAACAAAAAACAGCAAAACATCTGAATACAAAACAAACGAATTGACGACACCCGTCAATTATTTCGAATTCGGGCTGACCAATCGAAGCGCAGTTGTCACCGTTTTAATTTGGCAGAATAGTTTTCAAACAAATTAAATGACATTTCGTCTCTATTTCTAGTTATATACTCGATGAATGAATAAAAACCAATACACATACCTGCAGACACCTCTTACGACCGGCATCGATCTGGTCACTATGGAGGTCGGCCTTAGGCGTTAGGTCGAGTTTATCCATATACATTTCGGCACTGGTACCCATGCCTTTGCCACGCAACTATTTTATAATTTAAAAAAATATATATTGCGTTAAACTGTCAATTTTTATGTATGATGACGATTTTGACAGGATAACTTGACTTGATGTTTATTTAGCATAGACTTGACTATACTGTGTTTTTTTTTTAACGTTAGAAGGTATGAACCTTAGTGCAACAAGTGAGTATATATTTGGATGTTTTCAATAATTCCTTGCCTTTGTTTAGACATCGTGTATTGCAATTGTTATCAGGTAATTTAAGGTTTGATTCATATCGCCGAGACGCAACGCAACGCGATGCGAGCAATGCAACATTAACTTTGTCCTCTAATAATCTCAGTACAGAGTACTAAAAAAAACCGACCTCAAAAGTACGTGGAATTACATCTATTTGCCAAGTTAGGAAATGAAGCTATTTTTAACCGACTTCAAAAAAGGAGGAGGTTCTCAATTCGACTGTATGTTCTTTCTTTTTTTGTATGTATGTTACGCGATAACTCCGGTATTTGTGAACCGATTTTTATGATTCTTTTTTTGTTGGAAAGGGGGTAATTCAAAGTGGTTCCATTTCATTTTGAAGAAAATTATCCACCTCGAAGAGATTTTTATAAATAGCGCCTAACTTTAATTTAGGAGCAATTACTTTAATGGTTGATTTTGCTATTTCTCCAATTCAAGGCGTTTTTCTCTCAACATACTTTGAATAGTAAGAACTGATTTCTATTATCTCCAGTGTCAAGTCCTATATAGTGGCGAACTAGGGGATGTTTCAATAAAACTTAGCAAATAGACGTAATTCCACGTACTTTTGAGGTCGGTTTTTTAGTACTCTGTACTGAGATTATTCACGGTCACAGTTGACTTGAGCATGGGACCTGTAATGGACCCAAACCGTTGGTTTATTTTGAAAAAACAAATAAACGCGATTTAAATCCGGAAAAATAGTTTCATTTCCCATGCGTAACAATCGCGAAAACCGAAGGCAATTAATACACTGAGACAACGCTTCACCGCGCGGGAGGGCGGCGCACGCGGTTCCACCGCGCCATCCACCGCGTCGGTAGGCGCGGCGAACTGCAGGGTCTGGCACACTGCACTCCGCACTACCACGCAGATTTTTAATTAATTTATATCTATTCCAGTAATTGTGGTTCGGATTTTCCCTAACAAATAAATAATCAAAGGATTCAGTTGACATACGTGTGTAGTTGAAATGAAGTTGAATATTATCTTCGGTATCCTTTATTTGAGTAAACAAAAACCAAATCGACAGTTTAACTGCAGCATCCTGAATGTTTCTGTATTATTAACAATTCTTGTCAAAGCAGGATCTCAGCTACATGTACAATCACTACGGCGATCAACTACGAAGCGAGTAAGTGGCGCGGGGCCGCTAGACCGCTGCCCCTACGCATATTACACCGCGGTTTGACGCAGATCTACGGGTCGTATTCCAGAACTCTACTCAATACTGAAGCAGGACTTGAGTATTGCAGTGAGCACTGAAAATCATACTCAAGTCCTTGCCATTAGGGTCGTATTTCCAGTGCTTGAAACCATACTCAAGTCTGCTCAAATCCTGACATGAGCATTGAGTAGAGTTCTGGAATACGACCCTTATGTCCACTTGCACTAAACCTAGGTCCGTCTTAAACCAATAATTGCAATGCAAAAGACACTCTTAAAACATTGTGTTAAGAGTGTCTTATCAATTTAAGCATTGGTTTAAGACATACTTAAGTTTAGTGCAATTGGACATTGATGACCCTACGTCTCCGCCACCGCGCGAGTGATTCCGCGTCCCGCGCACCGTCGCGGGGTGCGATGCAGTGTGTTAATCGCCTGAACTCGATAATTAAAATAATTATTCTGTTGATGTACCTTATTAAATAAAAAAAAGTATGGTTAAACACGATGGTATCTGTGACACCCTTAGTCGTCGTCTCACCAGATGTGCGAACTATACTTTATAATTCAATTACAAAACTAGTTTGACACGAGTTACATTACAGGATCAGAAATGTTTAACCGAAGATGTTTTGCTATAAAAAACTAGCCTACTGCTACAGTCCTGTACTTACTCTCTCGAAGAACATAATATTTTCTCTGACAGTGAGAAAATTAAAGGTGACATTATTCTGTGGGCAGAAACCTACATCTTTGCTGATCTCTTGGATTCGTGTAGAAGTATCTAAACCATTCACGTAAACGGTGCCACTCGTTGGAGAGTTCATGCCTTAAACACAAGGAAATTTAGACTTTTTTAAAATAACATGACATCAGTCAAAATCACATCAAGTCGGTCACTTTGGATCATTCATAACGCTTCTTAACGGTCATCTCTGCTCTGCATTCAACTCAGTCATTATTGAGATTCCATCTCGCAGTGAAACTCTGAACATAGTCATGTCCATTGCCCTTTGGATGACCATTGACTAGCACTATACCTGCAATAATAGACAACAAAGTAGACTTCCCTGCGCCGTTGACTCCCAACAACATGGTGATCTCTCCTCGGTATATGTCAAGATCGATATTATCCAGTGCTGTCGTAGAATGCCTAAGCCCGTGGAACACCTGCGAACAATTAGATCGACTACTTTTCTTTATTCTTGCATTCAATTCACTTGTTCTTATTTATGTAGTGTTTAGGTTAGAAGCAGTAAAGCTCCTTGCGCAAGATTTCGTCCAGAGAAGTACGGCCACCACACCTGTCTATCGCCAAGCAGCAATGCGGGCATTACGGCGTCCCAATTTTGAAGGGCGCTGGTGAAATTACTGGCATATGGCTTAGATTTCAGTATGACGGGCGCAGTATTAGTGCCCTTCAGTAATTTATAGCTCTGAGTGGCACTCCAACTGCTATTGTCGCTTACCACAAGGCGCATAGCTCACGTCCCGTTACTGAGTATTCAAAACAAAAAAAAATATTAGCCGAGACTGAAATAGGCAGTATTTACCTAAATTTCAAGGAATTATGTAACATACATAAAGTAAATAGTAGAGTTGACTTGAGTAGAATATTTGGACACGCTCTCGGCGAAGCGACGAATATTCGGCTGCCGAATGTTCGGCGTAAGATCTGTGCATATCACTCGCAACCTGTTACGACCTGTCTCATTGCGTTGCGTGCTAATGCGTGAAAATGATAAAACGATAGAACCAAACATGACAATTTCTGGACCTGTATTGAAGAAGTCGCTACAGATAACATGCAAAATGGTGAGGATGTGGTGAAAGTTCTGTTGTACATGAGATTGATTTTTATTAGAAAACTGTTCGCCAAGCTCGCAAACTGTTCGCAAACGCAAAACAGTATCCAAGCCTATTTTCAAAAGCAGAAATTGTTTATGAGGAATAGCGCAATCATTTGTTACCAAAAAATTCTGAAAAAATTGTTTTTATTCATCGCAACCTGACACTGATTGATTTTAAGTGTTAAAGCAATAATTTGCGACTAAAATTCGTGATACATTTTGAATAATATGTGTTTTTTTAAATTATTTGACATGCGCTATTCGGCCGAATAGTCGTAGTATTTGGCCGAACACCGAATATTTAAAACAGTGGCCGAATAGCCCGAACACCGAATAGTAGCCGAATATTCATGGCATCTTTTGTAAATAGTAAGTAACGATAGAAACCTGATAGAAAGTGACGATGTGGTCTACGACGGAGCATACACATCTAAATAATACGCATTTACTGTCGCCCCAAGTGAAAAGACCCAAGAACAAATCTGCAAGTGCCTATTACGTGTAGAAGCAACATGCTTCGTGCGAATTCTTGGAGTATCCACAACATAGGGGTACCCATAAGAACCCCAACCTACGTCTAAACACCGATGATGGAAATGCACCATACCATACAATGTCATAATGAAATTGATGATACAGGCAAATTACGTCCCCGCTCGGTGGCGGCGTACCTTCGCGGCTACGGGCTACGGAGCGGGGGCTCCGTTCGCCAGCAACTTTGGCAGCCGCGAGGAGGATGACGGGACGGCATAGCCGTTTCGTCGTGAGGAGGGGAGGGAGAGGACGTAGCTCCTCCTAGTTGCTGGGGGGGTTCCGGTGCGATAAGTCAATCCCGGATCCCTCCCACTAGAGCACCCGAGAAGGCCACCGTGGGGTTTTAGCCGGTAGGAGTCCGGCATAACCTCTCCGCTGCCCCCGCGTGGGGACCGCTAGGAGGATTTCCCCACGAAAAAAAGCCAAATTACGACAGGCGCGCGAACGGCACTTGAACTGATCGCACAACGTAATGCTCGTGTGCAACAGGTGCATTTGCGTTAACCGTTCACCAACTAGTAACTTTCTTCTTTTTTGCAAGTCTTCTTTTTTACCTAGCGTGATCGTTGAGATAAACAAAATAACTCACTAAATAAAATGTCATTGGAACCACTTCTGGTGTCACCCGAAACCTTGTACCTTGGTGACTTGGCTGATTTTGATAGCAACTTCTGAGTCTATAGGATCAACCTCGAAAAACCTATTGTCTTTACGTCCGGTTGGTTTTTCAGCAGTCACGTGAAAATTCACAGTCCGCTTCTTCTTTCTTTTCTTTCGTACTATTTTTGTAGTCTTCCAAAAATTTTTCTAGAATAAAAGTTGATATATTTTAAAGGCTGATTAGTTTCATAAACTCTATTAAACTACCTCAAAGTAAATCCTCTTTCCATCCAAAATTCATTTTATACGAGGCGATGCTGATCTTAAGTGTTAAATTAACGATATTGAACCACATCTCCCTTACAGAAGCCTTTGATATTGGCGATACCGCCCCCCGTGTCATACGCAGCATGCATTGGTTGTCACAAAATGAAAAAAATTACACTATTAATAAAAATGGAAAAAAATTACGAAACCCGGCGAAATCATGCAAAATAGCTGCGCTAATATTGTTTTTTTTTAATCCAATTAATTTTCGATTTTATATAGATAATTAATAAAGATTTGCCTATGTTGCACTGCCAAATATTTAAGTAACTAATTGTGTTAAGTTTCGTGTAAATGAATTTAAGTATTTCTTGTATTCGCATTCGGATGAATAAAAGAATAAAAAAATTGAATGGCCGTGTTTTAAATTCTAAAATGTTGCTCCGTTTGTGTGCACCATTATACATGCATACAACGATTTTCGTAGAAATTGCTGAATGTAGTAAAAATATGTTAAATCTACTTTATTGTATTATTTGTTATATAAAACTTTTTTTAAAGCTAAGGCGCTCAATCGCACAAACTATAATAAGCTTGTTTGTGAGTTTCGAACCGCGGTTTACGCTTCCCCGCATTGCATTTGACAAAAACGCAATACTCATTCATGTTTAAGGTAATATGACAACCCTACGTTGCAAGAGACGTGTAGGCATTGACGCACCGAAAAGACGAAAGTTGCACTACATGTTTTTATTGTACTGTAATCATTGACTTACAAATAAATGGACGACGGGTCTCATACACAAACCACGAAAAAAATGTCCCAAGTCAACCTATTTGAACCTAGTGACATGTAAAGCGTGAATGTAGCTCTATACGATTTTAACGCCCTATAAGTTCGGACACTTTTTAGCGCGGACCCGACATCCATATAATTGTAAGTCAATGACTGTAATGTAATGCAGGCGTCTAGCGTTCAGCTTTCTGCAAACTAAACTTTTTTGAATAACTTTGTGGCGGCATATTATCTGAATATCGTATACTAAAAACAATCTAGAATGATCCCTGTGACTGTTCATAAAAATCAACAAAGTATAACCTTATAACAACTGCCTCCGTGGCCGAACGGTTACCATGCCAGACTGCCGCGCAGAGATCCCAGGTTCGATTCCCGGGCCGGGCGAAATATTTGTATGACCTACATTTATTTCTCTCGTGAGTTTGGGTGTAATTTGTGGTCGTCTATGTGTGTGTCCATGGCACCCGCGACACAGGGTTTCCCTAGTGCGCGGCTATGTTGAGTGTGTGCGTTATTAAAAAAAACAACGTACACTATATTACGTATTTCATAATCTATTTTTATAAGCCTCGCTTTTACATAAATAGCTTTCGAAAAACTACCACCAAATCAGTGTTTATTTAGAAACAAGAAATGAGCAGATTTTTTTTTTTTCAAAAATTCATTCTTTGTTTACGACAACATGCAAAGGTTACTTCATTAGTTCATTACACTGTATTTGCTAGAGATGAGGTATATCGATAAAAAGTTATCGATAATTTAATAAATAAATATGTGTAGGGCGTGTACTCATTTTTAAAACATTAATTTTAATCATAGGCAATGAAATGCCCTCATTGACGTCAGTATTATTACTTTTTTGAAACCTATAAAATAATGGCACGTTAAATGTTTTTGAAATTTACCAAAATATCTATTGAAATTTCATTCAAATTATAAATAGTTCTGTGCTTTATGCCTTCAATGTAATACAAAAGACTTCACACATCTATACATATCGGCAGAATATGTCAGAAAAATAAAACTATAATAGAGAACGAAACTATTTTTCCGGATTTAAATCGCGTATATTTGTTTTTTTAAACAAACCATGAGACCTGTAAAAGGCCCGAAAGGCGTCGGTTTGTTTGAAAAAACAAATATACGCGATTTAAATCCGGAAAAATAGTTTCATTTCCTATGTGTAACAATCGCGAAAACCTAAGAACTCGATATATAATAGAGAACTTTTGCTTCAAAAATCAAATATAAAATCAAATAAACACACTAAAAAATTATCGACCTCGTGCCAATGACAAACGTCAAATTAAGTGTCACAGCGATCATCCTAGTTTGATTTTAGTATCGTACACGCCGAAACATCAAGCTACACATTGACGTGTCTTGTTGTAACAAAACTGTGTAATCTGATGTGCCGTTGTCCGTACATACTGAGTGATATTAAAAGGGAAAAAATCACGTAGGAACTAAATTTTGTACATTGTCAGGGTGTTTATGGTACCGTCGTTGTTGCCGATTTCCATAACACAAGTGCTTTAAATATGCTTTTAATTACTTTGATATTAGAGCAACGTATAACAATAATAATGTAATAACGCACACACATAACATAGCCTCCTGTGTCGTAGGTGCCATGGACACACACATAGACAACCACAAATTACACCTACACTCACGAGAGAAACAAATTTAGGCCATACAAATATTTCTCCCGGCCCGGGAATCGAACCTGGGACCTCTGCGTGGCAGTCCGACGTGGTAACCTTTCAGCCACGGTGGCAGTTAATAATAATAATAGTTCATGTAAGTGACTGTAGAATACCTCAAAACAAAAATTCCACTTCAAAGGTATCCCATACTTCCCTGGCATCACGTAGTCCAAGTACCAAGTCAGGAGATATAAAATAAAGAACTGTATAATAAGGAATGTCCAAGCCAAAAACACTGCCACATGACCTTGTATCGGCTCATAAAACAAATTCTTGAAGCGCAAACCTACACCTGATGCAATAAAAATTATTATTAAGCCAGCAAAATATCATTGAACATTAGGGAATATCGTTCTCGAAATTTTCGAGACTTAGCATTTTTGATATTCGATACCAGTGTGTTTAATCTCGGGATTGTCGAGACTTTTGAGACCTGAGTTAAATTTTTTATTTTTTATATTAAAAATCATCATAACGCTGTTTTGAACCCAGCCGGATTGAAGAAATTTTCCTTAGAGTTCGATCTTTGTATTAATAAAATGATAACAAACTAGTGAGGTAATTTCACAAAAAATAATTGAATATCATGGTTGTTAAAACATGTGTTACAATTATCAAAGCGACATCTCCAGTCAGTTGCTGCTATCTGTAAGGCTCAACTCACACTGGCGGAGAGTCGAAGCGTCGCGTCGCGTCCTATTTTTCAACTACAATGCATGGCCAGAGAACAAATAAGTAATGAAAACGGCATTCTCCGCCCCTCCCTAGTTTTATATACCGCACCACGCCCCGCACATTGACGGTCATATTGACTGAACGAGAACAAGGCTGTCGGCAAGCCATTTTCTCTCTAAGACGGCTTTAATATTTGAATATAGTTTTCATTTTTTCATTACGAAATCTGTGCGTTAATAATAATTATCATTTTACGTTACTATTTATAATGGTCGTAAATTAGGCTACGTACGACTGTTTACAATCATTTAAACGGGATAAAGAGAGGGTTTCTTTCGTTTTTTGGAAGATGAAACGAAGTAAGTAAAAAAAACTTATGTCTGAGATTCATTCAGTTATTGTTTTCTTTAGTGCAGAGTAATATATAATACGGATTTATTATATCAATATAATAAGACGCCATAACTTCGCTAGGGAAGGGTTCTCGAATTTTCAATTTGTATTGCTGATAAAATATTACGTAGTGAATATACCTAATTATTAACAAGGTAATGATAAACTTGGACACGTAATTTGAAATACTTTGGTTACCTTATTTAAAGGTTCCTGTCTAAAATATAACATTTGGAGTGCTTTTAATTTTTAAAATAAATTTTCAATATCATTCCAGTTTAGTAAATTAATGAAAATTATAATATTATATCGATATAAATACGTAACGAACATGTGTAATTATTAGGATTCTATAATTGAATTATAGATAACAGATTGCCGCTCTGATCACGTAACGTAATAAATAGGACGAGCAAGTGATGGGTAATCCTGCCACTTAACGCACGCATTTGCGCGTGTGCGGATAGCCCCTTGCTGTATGTAGTAATAGTAGGTAAATAATTTTCGATCGTTGTATGGAGTGTCCGGGGTGTGGCATGGCGTCGCGCGACGACGCTCGCATTAGCGCGCCCGGATCACAGTGCTGGACCAGATAAGCAACTTTTGAGTATTCGTGAATGGCGCTCGTGCTCGACAGTATACAAAGTTTGATATCGATCTTATTATAATTGCTCTTATATCTGAAGCTGAAGAGGAAGAAACTGAAAATTATGTCAGAAATTTTGATTTCACGAGTTATGGAAAAAAGACGTATACTTAGCAAATTCAAAACACTTTGTAGTAACGATTTAAGCAGGGACTCAAGATATTTTTAAGATTATTATGTTGTGTAGAGACATTCATATTTTTGGATTAAGTAAATTAATTTTTCGTCTTCATCTATTATCGCACACTCGTCTCGTCGCAGTTCGGCACTGTACTATGTCTGGTGTTGTCGGCGTGTAACGCGTCACTGCGCGCGAATAACGCACAGCGACGCGCGAAACCGCTCGACTTTAACCAAGCATATTTGCATAACACAAATTTGTACCTTAATAATAGGAAAATAGATATGAATATGCTATAAGCGAAAAACATGACGCGTCACGACGCTTCGACTCTGCGCCAGTGTGAGTTGAGCCTAAAGGCCTGAGTGAATAAAAAAAACATAGATTTCTTACAGATGGCGCTACGGCAAGGAAATCGTTAAAACCAAAACAAAGATCTGCAATAACCTTAAAGAAAAATTCGTCCTTCGTTCCCACTAGTTCTATTGAGTAGTTCTATTATAGAACTACTGGTAAAAATCATTTCCCAGTAGTTATACTGACTTTGTTCTATATTTATCCCGATAATGATTTTATCGTTAATGTAACGGTTAAAGAAAATATACAACCCATACATATAATAATTAATGTAAACTTGACAAATTAAAATACGAAGAATTTAAAAAATTATCAAACATTGTAAACTTGCTAATTTAAATTTAAAAAATAATAATAAATTAATAAATAATAAATTGTAAACTTGACAAAACAAAATTAAAAATTTTAAAAAATAATGAAGATTTGTAAATATGACAAATTACAATAAAAAAATCTAAAATTGTAAACTTGATAAAGTAAAATTAAAAATTTTAAAAAAATGATCAAAATAGTTAACTTGACAAAATAGCTTAAAAAAAATAATCAAAATATCAAAAATTGTAAACAATGAATTACAAATTAACTGATAATTAGTAATAATGATCGTAAAAATGTATATATTTCGACAAAATACATTCTAAATCAATAAATTAACTAATTGACAAAAACAACTAATTTGCGTTAAAAAAAGTTGCTTTAAAAGGTTAACCTTTACACGTATATAATTTCTACGATCATTATATTAGTGTAGTAGGAGGTGTATACAGGGTGGTAGAGATTCACTCGGCTAGCTGGTGCCCCCTTACTACATCCAGAAATCAAACGACTACGAAAGGTGAAGTAGACTTGGTTTATTGTACAACAGCTTACAATATTTTATTGTTTTGATTATTTTTAATTAAAATTTTGTCAAGTTTACAAATTTTTTTCTATTTATTTAAAAAAAAATTATTTTATTTTGTCAAGTTTACAATTTTTGATCATTTTTTAATTTTAATTTGTCACGTTTACAGTATTTGATAATTGTTTAATTTGTCCAGTTTACAGTGTTTGATTGCTTTTTTTAATTTGTCAAGTTTACAATTGTTGATTATTTTGACAATTTTTCAATTTTTTAATTTCAATTTGTCAAGTTTGCAATTTTTGATTATTTTGATATTTTTTTTATTGCAGTTTGTCACAATTTTTGATTATTTTGTTTTCTTTTATTATAATTTGTCAAGTTTACAAAGTTTGATCTTTTTTTAAATAATTTTGAATTTTATTTTGACAAGTCTACAATGTTTGATTAATTTTTATTTTTCTTTAATTTTACCTTGTCAAGTTTACAATTTTGATAATTTTTTTTTAGTTTAATTTGTCAAGTTTTCGTTAAATATTATATGTATAAGCTATATATATTCTTCAACCGTACATTAAGGATAAAATCATTTTCGGGATAAAAATGGAATAAAGTCATTATAACTTGTACGCCCCGTCACTTGATGTTATAAAAAAAGTTAAAAAAAACTTCTGAGAAATGATTTTTCCCATTAGTTCTATTATGTATTGCAATAGAACTTAATAAAACTAAAAGTCCCAGTAGCTCTATAATAGAAAGGCTCAATAGAACTAGTGGGACCGAACGAAATTCGTAAGATCTGCTGTTTCGTTCCGTAACTCAGGAGAGGAGTGCCTGATGTCAGGATGTGTCACCACAATGATATTGACCGCCGTCTGCGAGAAGGCTATGCCCAGGGCAAGAGGGGCCCCGCGAAAAAAGAGTGTGTACTGGTGGACCGCGGATATTGGGGACCTCCGCACCGCAAATACCATGGCCTGTCGGGCTTATGACCGATGCCGCCGCAGGCGTCACACCCGGAGTGAGGAGAGAAGGCTCCACAGCACCCTTCAGGGCGCGAGGTAGGCTCTGAAGGTCGCGATAGGATGGGCCAAGGACTCTGCGAAAGAGGAGTTCTCGGCCACCCTGAACGCGGACCCATGGGGAAGGCCGTACAAACTTGTGCGCAACAAAACGTACGGCGTATCCCCCATGGAGTCACTGGAGCTGGATCTCCTCAACCGGGTGGTGAAGGGCCTCTTCCCCGAACCGCAGCCCTTCACCCCACCGGCCATGGTGCCCCCCAGAGCAGATGGAGGGCAGCCAGAGGAACCCCCCTCCCGTTTGAAAACGAAAGAAACTCCTCTCTTTATCCCGTTTAGATGATGATAAACAGCCGAACACAGCACAACTCACGACCATTATAAATAGTAACGTATCTACAATGATGTTATAATTATATTAACGTGCAAGTTTCGTAATGAATAAATACTCAATACTCAATATATTTATTGCATTCATATGGTAAACATGTCTTAAATTTCAAATAATGCTACACATATGAGCCCTTTATTAGGGATAACAATAACAGCAGAGGTAGGCCGAGGTTTCAATTATTAATTAAAATTGTTATTTATCAAATAATAATATAAAAAAAAAATGTCATATAATAATAAAGAAATACGTCATATTATGAGTAGAATTATGTCACTTGAAAGTTTGAATTTAATTAGATTATAATTATAGATATATAATTATATAATTATACACTATAAAGTCATGCCACTGTAGTGCTACTACAGTAGCATAACCCTATAGTATATAATTAACATTTATTTATTATTCAAATTTATTGTAATATTATTATTTTTATTTGTCATCAAAGTATTCTTTTAAATTGTAATAGCATTTATTAATAAGATGTAATTTTAATTTATTTAGAAACAGTGAATATTTTTCCTCGCTTTTAATAATGGGCGGGAGCTCATTGAATATCCTCACCGACATCGAGTGGGGACTTGAGCTGTGTATGTGTAGCCGAGATCGAGGCAGAAGCAATCTATTGCGTGGTCTAAAAGTGTGTCGTTGAGGCAGGTCGTCAGTGTTAGTGTAAAAGTCAGGGTGTTGTTTAATAAATTTACAAATTTCTAAAATATATGTATATAGAACACAAAGTCACAAATATCAAAGCCTTCTTAGCTCGAAAACGGCTCGGCAACAGCCTTGTTGCCGTTCATTCAATGTGTGGGGGGTCGTGGTGCGATATCTAAAGCTAGGGAGAGGGGAGAGTGTCCATTCTCTTTACTTTTTTGTTCTCTGACATAATCAACTTAATCTAAAGGGTGTTGATACAGGAGATGCAGGAATACAGATACGACAGCGTCAATGTAAATATGAGATCGTCTAAATATAAAATAGCAATAAAAATATGCAATTCTCACCTTTGCCTTCAAGGAAAGTTATCTCATCCCAAAACAAGAATATCGGGGCATGGGGAATGAACGAGCTTAATATTAGTACCTTCCACGACAAATTGTCAAGAACAGAGAACCACCATGTGTTCAACAAAAATGTGAGCACATATGTCAGCAATACTACGCTATCTGCATGTCTAGCTGCAAAGAAAAAACTTTAAATTACTAAACGTGGCATAATATCTGTCACAAATTAGGAATGTATATATAAGTGCGTATTCAGACGTTGAGAGGCGTAAGAGGTTCCTCATCATCATCGTTTTATGGTCTCGATACTTTTTTTATTTTAGGACTATATTGACTTTGAATAGTATGTTGCCACTTTGACTGCGTTATCCGTGGTCGCGTAGAGATTTTCCCTCCTACAAATATTAAGGCAAAAGGGCAGGGCTCCGTTACTCGTTTAAGGCGATAAGTGCCTACCGCTGAGTGCACCGACGTCAGTGCAAGCGCTAAGAGAGTGTCGCACGCACAACTGAACGGTCATACATCACGTTTCGTAAAAATATCGTTGCCATGTCGAAATCGTGTAATTATTATTCAGTGGATGAGTGTAGAAGTAAGAATACATAAGAATAATACATAAGAATAACAATAAATTATCTTTTTTTTTTTCATTACCTACAGACGAAAAAAGTAATTGGTCTTGTGTTATTACTATATTTTTTTATTTTCGATTAACTATAAATTATTTTCGAAAAATTTAAGTTGTTTGTTGAGATCAACGAATTATGCGATAGTTAAATATCTAAAATCATGCCTAATGTAAGAAAATACATGCAACGAATTGTACGCCTGTATGTTTAAAAAACTGCCCAAATAAGTTTCTCTGCATATTATTATACAGTGGTAAAACACTGTATTGGCAACACCACAGTAATAGCGCACCATCTAGCATTACATAGCGTTATCCGAACGTCGCTCAAGGTCACATTTGCAGCTAACTGTCAAATCACCAGGTAATTTTGAAGGAACTTCATTATGAGTAACAAAAGACATTACGAATTTATCCAGAAAAGCCTAGCAATGACAAATTACTGGACAACAAGCAATGCCATGGTTTTAAATTCAATTTCATTCGGAATTCTATTATAATATCTTTTATAGCTGGACTCCTCGTAATTAAATTATATAGTATGTTTTTGTGTTCTTCTTAAATGAAGTCAGTAACTGAAATACTGTTAATTTTGTTTTATAAGCAATATTTAGGAATGAAGTTTTTTTTATATAACATCAAGCGACGGGAGGCAAAAGTCGTGCGCCTGATGGTAAGCTACACGCCTGTTCATAACTGTCACACCGCCAATAAGAGCTTTAAATTGCAAAGATCTGAGGGGCACTACCACTGCGCCTATCGCCGTGAGACATAAGTTGACAAGTCCCATGTGCCTGTAATTTCACCAGCACCCTTACCCTTCAAAAATGGAACACAGTAATGCTGACATTACTGCTTGGCGGCAGAATTAGGTAAGGTGGCAGTACTTCCCTGGTCGAACTCTTTCACAAGGAGCTCTACAGTTATTAATTTTTTTTTTGTTATTTTAATGTTACATTAATTCACATTTAAGTAATACGTGGGGCGCACTATAAGTTTCCGGAATGAATAAGAAAAAAATGCTATTAATGATCAGAAATGAATTTATTGTTTCTCAAAATACTTCTTAATTTTTGGAAATAAATAAAAGTCACAAGGTGCCAGGTCGGGACTGTACGCGGGATGGCTCATAAGATCAACGTTGTTCGCCGTCAAAAATTCATTTGTCTGTCTGGCCGTGTGAGAACTGGCATTATCGTGGTGCAAGATGATACGGCGTTTACGGTGATTTTTACGGAGTTTGTCAATAACTACCGGCAAACAAATGGTCGTGTACCAATCATTATTCGTGGTACAACAATTCTCCAAAGCACGTGTCCAGTTTTATTAAAAAAAGAAGCAATCACCCGCTTAGAGGCACTTTGCACGCGCGCCACTTTGGTTGGCTCATCTCGGAAGACACATACGCTCAATTGCTGCTTTGTTTTGGGACCGTAACTATAAATCCATGTTTCGTCATCTATAACTATGTCCCACACCAAATTTGACGCCTCTTCGTTGAATCTGGTAAGCATGGCATTGCACCAAGTGATGCGATCCGTTTTTTGAGCCTCTGTCAAATTGTGTGGGGTCCACCGAGAGCACAGCTTTTTCACACCCAAATGTTTGTGTAATATTGATTGTATTTGACTCATGCCTATGCCTAAAGATGTCCGAATCTCATGGTATATCACATGCCTGTCTGTTTTGATCATATTGCGCACAGCATCGATGTTTTTGTTGTTCACAGCAGTGGCCGGGCGATCATCACGAAATTCGTTACTGAGATTCACACGGCCGCGTTTGAACTATTTTTTTATAATTTTGCAAACCAGCTATAACCGCTGAACTGTTGTTAATTACACTTAAAGCCGTAGAAAATCATACTACGAGAATTTTCACGAGTTAAATCCATGATGATGTAGACAACCGATTTCAAAAATGACGCCACAATGTAAAAACAAGTGACAGTCAGACGAAACAAACTGTATTCTACAGAAAAAGAGTTCCATTTTCAAATGATGTAATTACTTTTTAAATTTTGTTTATATAAGTGGCCCGTTCCGGAAACTTATAGAACGCCCCATGTATAATATAATAACATTCATTGTAACTATTAATAAAACAGACACACGAGAACTGTCAAAAGCTTGGCTCTGTAATGGCGGCAATCGGAGAAGTGCAGTTGTTTTTGGGAAGAATATAATATTATTCTAGTGTGTCTGCAGTTGTTTAAAAACTTGAAATACTAACCGTCCTGTGTCACAGCGCTCAGTACAAAGGCCAGACCAGAAACACACATTAAGTGTAGCGTTGTATGCAATGCCATTAGAAAGGCGTTGCTGTATGGCAATATCGGAATATCGCGACTGACCTGCAGGAAGGCAATACTTTAATGAGCTGGTATGCCTGGTATGTTTAATAAATAAATATTAGACAACATTACATAAGTTATTATTATTAAAACAAAGATCAAACACTTAGAAAAAATTCCTTCGGACCGGCTGGATTCAAACCAACGTCTTCCAGCAAACCGTGTCAGACGTTGTGCCAACTAAGCCACGGAACGAACTAGCGGACCGTGCGAATTTTTCTGTCCTTGTTGCAGACCTTTGTTTTAGGTTTTAAACGACTTTTTTGCCCATCTTGACATTCAATAACTTAAAATTACAATCACTTAAGTTGCTCTGATCCCAAAGTAACTAAAGCACTTGTGTTATAGATATCGGGAACAACGACGGTATCACAAACACCCAGACATGAAACAATATAGAAAAGTTGCTTTTCTACATTGACTCGGCCGGGGATCGAACCCGGGCCCTCAAAGACGGCGACATCATGAAAACCTGTGTGCAAGCCACTCGACGAACACCACATACGTCGTTTAGCCACAGACAGAAGTTACACAACGCACATGAAAGCAAATACTATCACAACTCAAAATTTAATCGTAAACTAGGGGCCGTATTCTAGAACTCTACTCAATGCTCAAGTCAGGATTGCACTGGCAACACAAGCACTGGAAATACGACCCCAATGGCAGGGACTTGAGTATGATTTCGAGTGCTTTAAACCGTACTCAAATCCTGACTTGAGCATTGAGTAGAGTTCTAGAATACGACTCTTAGAGTCGATAATAATACGGTTCATTTTGCTTGGGTCGAGCGACAGGGACACTGGCTTTATTTCAGAATTTATTTTTTTACAAACGAACTTAAAGCCTTTTTAAAAATGTATATCGTATAGTATACATGTTCTATTTAGCTCAGTTAATATTTAAAAAAATCGAATACGGTTTTCTAGTAAAATTTCGAGGTAAGGTCATTGACTTACAATTATATGGACGTCGGGTCTGCGCTAAAAAGTGTCCGAACTTATAGGGCGTTAAAATCGTATACAGAGCGTCATTCACGCTCTAGTCTTCGTTGTTCGACTGACAGCGAAGCAAGCAAAATTAGACAGTACTGCGATGACATTACAATTTAAATTCAACGTTTTAGCTTTTTCATATTCCTTGACATGTCACTACGTTTAAATAGGTGGACTTGGGACATTTTTTTCGTGGTTTTTGTATTAGACCCGTCGTCCATTTATTTGCAAGTCAATGGGTAAGTTTGTGTTTTTTTTCTATCGTGAACATTTATAAGAACTGTATTTTCACAGCGTACAGTAATCAGTATATATCCTATTCAACACTTTCACTATTATGCGGAATCAACCAAAGCCATTTGAATAGTATCACAAATTACTTAATAGTTACTACGTAACAGATATATCACACTCATGCAAAATCGAAAATACCTACGCAGTAATAGCATACTAAATCTCATTAATGCATTGACTTACAAATAAATGGACGACGGGTCTAATACAAAAACCACGAAAAAAATGTCCCAAGTCAACCTATTTAAACGTAGTGACATGTAAAGGAACATGAAAAAGCTAAAACGTTGAATTGAAATTGTAATGTCATCGCAGTACTGTCTAATTTTGCTTGCTTCGCTGTCAGTCGAACAAACGAAGACTAAAGCGTGAATGACGCTCCGTATACGATTTTAACGCCCTATAAGTTCGGACACTTTTTAGCGCGGACCCGACGTCCATATAATTGTAAGTCAATGCATTAATGACACCAGGCGCTCAGTACGAGGAAAAAGGAACCTAACCACGCGCTCATAGAGGTGAATACAAGGTTGCCCACCGTATGCAGTCGCGCAGAACCGAATACGCAACGGCTGAGACTTTGAAATTACAATTATTTATTTAGTAAAGCGATGGGAGAACGGTTGCCTCTCAATTGGATGTCGACGGTTCGATTCGCGGTTGGACTAATTTTCGCAATGAACTTTACTAAATGTGCTTTGGTCTGGGTGTTTTGGGTTGTGCCCCCAAGTGAAAATATTTACTCTAGTAGGTAGTCATAGTACAGGGCCATCTGTAGTTTGAGACCAGGTTATTGGAGTGGTTATGTGGCATTTTGAACCCATTAAGTTGTCTTGTTGAATATTATGATAATTATAATAGGGGTTAAAGTATGAAATTGCCGATTTGTACTGAAAAT